GAAGGCAGTCGCTTAACCAACTGAGCCACCCAGGCGCCCCTCTTTTGAATTCTGTATAATGTTTAAGTTTAGACAATTTGTAAATTTTATTTAGAAAGGGAAATCTTGTCTTTTTGTTGTTTAAGCAAACACATTTATTTTGTCGTGCCACCATTGTCTTGTCAATTAAAATAAACATCCTCTATATTGTACTTGAACAAACTGTTTATAAAAGAAAAAGGCTAGAATAAAACTTCATTAGTTATTCACTCATATCAAAGAAAAGCTCCTTAAATATATCTTAACCATGGTTTTCTTATCTGCAAAATGGAAATAACCTAATATACAGAATTTCTGGAGTCCTTAAGTAAGAAGAAAACTGGATTCCTAAGGAAACCACTCGTAGCCCTGCTCCATCAGTCCTTTATAACTGATAATGATCTCTGGATTAGATATTTTAAAACATGCTCAGTTTCCATGGCAACACAGGTGTAGATGTTACATAGAAAGCCCCCTGCCCTGGAAAGTAAATGCCTCGTGAGCCAACTGACCTACACTATGTCCCACTAGGAATCTGTCCCTGTCTTGTATTTGGAGAAATTACCCCTTTGTCAACTCCCTGAAGATGTATATCACGGCACCAGTCGACGTGGAGCTCACACACTGGCTCTGCCTAGCCACAGATAGATCTGCCCGTGAGTCAGAGGCCACTTGAAGGACTTGTTGCCTTTGGAGTTTCAAACCCTTGATGACTCAGGCTACACTGTCACCAGGTAGACATCCCTGAGCTTAACAACTGTTGGTTAGCTGGAGTGGTCTTCCCAAATTGTTTCCTGTTGCTCACCGTCACAAGCTGTGCTGCCTGAAATAACTCTCTGGGCTTGTTACTTTGGCTGGCACCCCATCCTTCACCAATAACTGGACTCCCTTAGTCACCCCACTTCTGCTCTCCAAGGTTGCTGTTTCTGTGTTCTTCTGTCACACAGCTCCTCTATTTTATGGTTACCAACAGGGGCTCTGTGGTCCTAAGGATCCCCTTGGAGGTGACCAGATGCCTGTGATAGGAGCCTCCCTTAGAGTGATCCTGCCTGGCACTTTAGCAGAACCAGGAGCCTAGGTGAAGATACCCCACAGTGGTCAAGGACAGATTTGGGGTCATGGTGGCCCTGTTGGGATTCTCCTAGATTAGCTCATAGACATGATTGGCCTCTAGAATATTTTCCACTTCTTTGCCCATCAGTCCATCTCTATCCCAAAGGAATGTGTGGAGAAGCCCCTTTCCCCTGCATGTCTCTGTTGATAATATTTGGCTCAAGGTGAGAGCCAGCACATGAGGCTGGTATTTCTCATACTGCTGCCTCAAATTTGCCCCATACTTTGCAATTCTTCTTAAGGGTTCACCCAGGCATCAGAACACGGCCATTTCAGGAACTCTTGGTGGTAGCTGCAACCACTGAATCTGGAAGTGGTTTCCAGAGCAACAGTAGCTGATTCCAGCCCTGGTTTCCAGCGTTCTTATTGTACTCTGCGTGAACCGTATCAAAAAAACCTGCGTCTGACATCCTATTCAACTTAACATCTTTGGGATGGAATTTGATATGGTCATGTTTCCACAAATGCTGACCTGAACAGCCTTATCATCCAGGGAGAACCTAACTTTTAAATTGTTTCTCTTGGCATCTAAGATTATGTGACACCTCGCAGAGCTACAGAGAGCTTTGAACACATTTATAAGATTCATGGCTCTTTTTTACAAGGGGCCATATAAGAGAATTTATTTCTATTATTCAATTTTGTAATCTCTACCAGTATATTAGTAATATATTAATATTTATAACATGTTAATTATGATTACTATAATATATTTATATATGTTACTATATATAAAGATTTATATACAAATTACTGTTACTATTATAGTTGTGGTAGTGTGCTTTTTATACATTAAGTTACCTTGGGAGATAATTATTTTTTATTCCCTTTGTGAAATATAGTTCAGAGAGATTAAATAACTTGGTCAAGGTTATATAACTAATTAGTTGCAGAGTAGAGACTAGAATCCAACCTCCCTAGTTATTTTTTTTTCATATCAAGGATAAGCTCCTTAAATATCTCTGAGCCATGGTTTCCTAATCTGCAAAATGGAAATACTGAAGAAGGGAACCTGTTTCCAAAGTTACTGCGATTCAAAAACATTTCCCTGTGAGAACTTCTAGCATAGTGACTGATATATAGTGAGTGTTCAGTACCGTTAGTTGACTCTGAATACATTCAAGGGCTATTGATATATATAACAGTTTTGCAAATTTAGTCATACATTGTAAAAGCAGTTTACTAATGAAAGAATCCTTTTCTGAACTCTTTTGTAAAGCTAAAGTGAATACTCAGCTATTAAGGTGTTAGGAGATTTCAATGTATTGTTTTTTTCAAAGCAGTGCACCTGTCTCTCCTGCCTTGCCACACCCTCTGCTCTGCCATATGCTTTACCTGTAGAGTGTTCCCCAGGCTGATTTTGTGAGATATATTAATAGCAACCAGAGGCAGGATGGTGAATGGCAGAACACCAGCTTAGGAATTAGAAGACTTCAGCCACTCATTTAACCACAGTGAGCCTCAGGTTCCTGATCTTACAAATGATGAAATTTTTTAAAATAGGAAGGACTTTTGGTTACAGCTCTAACATGTAAAAAGCTTGAAAATCATCATCCCCATCTTAAAACAAGAAAAAACTAGACAAACTGAACGTCAGTAAGTTTTCTTGGATCGATCAGAGAATTGAGGTCAGTGGAAAAACCACCACCATAAATCTGGAAAGACAGGAGAATGGAGGGAATCACATCTGAGATCTGGCGACTGGGAGCAGAAGTTGTAAGAGCCACACAATGGTAGAAACCCTTAGGGGTAACTTCGAAGAATTGCTGCAAGTGGAGTTTAGAATAGTGTATGAGTGAGAAACTCTTGGGAGCCACAGTGTTAGGGGCTTCCCAATTTTTTTTTTTTTTTTTTTTTTTTTTTTAGGTTTTAGCTCTAGGAACCCCACCAGATTCCCATGGTATAAAGCCAAGAAAAACCCTTGTGCATCTGACAGGGGGAGGGAAAAGTAATTATTCTGAACTAGACCCAGAGTGTTCTCCATAACAAAGACCTACACAGCAATGTAAATCAGAGCCTTCTCCACTGTGGGGGAAGAGAAATTACCCAACTCCAGCCCCCTCTAGCCTTCCTGTCTCACCTAAAGGGAAAACAAAATATTTAAAGCACTTGTGAAGGTCATGGTGCAGAGAGAGAGGCCCATGAAAAGATCAAGACTTAATCACAGAATAATAGAACACTTGCACTGTCCCCATGCCTTACCACCACATCAGCAGGTGTCCAGTATAACAGAGCATTAGAGCTGAAAGAGCTGCAAGACTCAGATGCTATACAAGAAGGAGTTTTTATGGAAACCCAAAGACAAAGAGGGAGACACAAACAAGTATACTAGTGGAAATTGAAGCCTCTGATATCTACAGCAGACATTAATCACAGCACAACTCCTAGCTAAATTAATACAAAAGATGTATGTCAGTTCTTATTACTCCACACATTATGTCTGCCTTTCAACCAAAATATAAAAGTCATGCTAAAAGGAAAATAAGACACAATCTGAAGAGACAAAGCAAGCATCAGAACCAGACCCAGATATCGCAGATTTGGGAATCATCACACTAGGAATTTAAAATAACTATGGTTAATATGCTAAGAGCTCTAATGGAAAAAGTAGATAACATGCAAAAAGAGATGAGTGATGTAAGCAAAGAGGTGGAAATTCTATGAAAAAATAAATGCTGGGGTGCCCAGGTGGC